AACACGGACTATCACATTTTCAGAACTTTGGCGTTGAATTACTGCTGACGTATCGGTTTCTGTGACATCCCTGTGCCTCAGTGCCAACTTTTACCAGCATGAAACGTCTTTTTACCTGAATGTTCTTAAATGTTCATGCATAGAAAGCTAAAACAATCAATCAACCAAGTGATACGATTGGAAACACGTCAAGCTGCAGCTGCTTCAAAGTGAACTTTTGCTGCTTTCTCTGTTATTTTTGGGGCTTTATTAAAAATTAGGAATGATAAATGAGGATGTCTCATTAGGTTTAGGGAATTAGGAAGGGTTTTTAATGAACAAATTAATAATATTAATGTAGGAAAATAATTTGCACATTAATCAGCAGTGAAAACAACATGTATTTGGAATCCTGGCTCTGTTTAGTTCATCCCATGGTGTACTGATGATACCTTCCATTTTTAGTTCTTGACATGCACCCATATAAAAAGTCAATCACGAGGCTGATTATTCTAATAACATGGCCCAGATCCTTTCCCAAGAAAAATCCAGAAATCAGGTTTCACTAATCCCCTAACCTGATTTCAGAAACCAGATTTCCCATTTACATGACACTGAAGGAATTAGGTTCCCAGTTGCTCAGAGTCAATGCATGTAAACACACCGATGGAGGTTGTGCTCAGAGGCCAGCCACTGGGTAAACACTGAGATATGGTCTGATTTGGCTTTTGCTTTCCCTTCAGCACCGGGATCCAAAGCAAGAAAGGAAAATGAAAGAGGCTGAGCTAACAAAGGAAGGGAGATGCAAATAGACACAGCAGGAGGGGAAAGACAAAAAAAAAAAAGTAGAGTGAGAGAGACGAAGGAAAAGAAGGAGAAGAATAGGTGGAGATGGAGAGCGTGGAAAAAGCAAGAGACAATGAAAGATGATTAGCTCCTGTGCTGACTCAGGCCTGGGACATTGGGTCATTCATTTTACCATAAATCTATTCCGCACCACTCTGGAGTTGGGTGAAGAAGAATCAGGCCTCAGGTGAAAAACCCATTAAAATGCATGCTGGAGAATCAAAGTGGGCCATGTTTGAATCAAAGCCAACATTGGGGACTGATATTCCCACCAGGCTCAGAGTACAGACTGCAGTCATTACAGGAAATGAATGGGGAAAAACTGGTCGCTGTTCAGAGAAGTTGCCCAGTTTGCAGAGGTAGCAGACCATTTATATTAAAAGATTCCACTATAGCAGGCTGGAGAGGCCCGGGGTGCTGCTATTTTAAAGATTTATTTACACACGATTGTATAATTTTTTTTGGTAACCTTCACTGGTTTTCTTGTTCACCTCTATAAGGGGACAAACAGTCTTCAAGAAGAGTCTCATAGTCATAACAAAATAAAACATTACAGATTGAATTTTTATAGTAGAAATAGTGGATCATGTAGACAAACCGACTTTGGCATCTAAATTGCATTGTTTCTGTTGTTTATGCAGCTCTTTAGCCTCTTGTTTTCGTTTTATAGCCCACATCTTGTGCTTTCATCACACCTGCCACTGTTTTCAACACCAAAACGCTCACTTTAAACTACCTGTCCAGGACCCAGACTGAAGGTAGTCACTGTTAGATGGTTAATATGAGATGAAATTAAAAGCTCTGAGTCTTCTTTATCAGTCATTGTGTGAGCAGTAACCCTGCAGGTCTACATTTGTAATCTCACCACAGACCTACAGAAGTAGCAGCTTGTTAAAGTCTGCAAATATCTCCGTCGACTGGCCTATGATGAGTCAGATTTTACGTTGAGGGTTATTACTGGTGACGAGAGTCGGATGTACGGCTACAACCCTGAGACTACACAGCAGGCTTCAGTCTCCAAGACCAAAGGAAGTCATGTCAGGAGCCTGTGGAGAGCATTCCCGTCATTTTCTTGGACATACAAAGAGTTGCACACCATGAAATGTCCCCCACGGTCAGCGTCATAGGTCAACACACACATTCACAACACAGTGAAGAGGTCTTTGGTTCTATATACACAACTCCTCACTTCGTCAGCTCGCCTGATTTTGCTTCCTGTGACGACTTCCTGTGACTACTTCCTGTTCCCCAAATGAAATTCAAGTTGAGGGGTCACTGTTTCACCATAGTGGAATATATCCAGCAAACATCACAGATACGGTGTGATGCACTTACATAACAGGAGTTTTCCAAGCATGGCAGGAGCGCTGGGTGCAGTGTATCGCTGCGCAAGGAGACGACTTCGAAGGGGGTGGCAGCTAAATTTAAATCAGAAAATGTTTTTTTTTTTGTACAAGTGCAGACTCTGAACTTTTTGATGAAACTTCATAAAATGTACCTGTTAGATTTCCCCCAGGAGATAAAAGTAAAGTGATTGTTAAAAACACAACTCCAAATTGATGCTAATGTTTCTGCTAGATATGGAACGAGGCAAATCAAACTGAGACTGATGTATACAACAATTTAAAATAATCAAAAGTGATCAGAAAATATATTTTTAAAAAGTCTAAATCCTTAAATGTAGGTAAATGTAAACAAAAGAAAAGAAAAGCACTGCATAGAATTGTCAAGTGACCCCTTAGGGATTTTTATTTGGACTTTATTTGCTTTTTTGCGTTGTCTCACAATAAGGCTTACGCTTCAGGGTCAGTGCACCCTCAGCTGTGTCTGTCAGGCACAAGTCTGCACCATAGTGGTTAAAAGGAAATCAAGGGGAGCAGTTGTAAAAAAAATGACTGCAGCCAGGGGAATACATCGCTGTGGCTGTGTGGTTGTGTCTGTGCCCCTGTTGTTGCAATTCTGTCTGTAACACTTCAGTTTTTATTGGTTGTTATGTTGCCTACATGCAGAGTTTGCATGCGCAGCGATGTTTGAGCGGGGTGAACGTCATATTCCTGAACTCCTGTGGTGTTCTGGTAACATATTGGACACAGAAGCGCCACAGGTTCAAATAGTAACAGCTGAATGCGTCCATAGAACCACAGATTGAGCCACAGCTGCAGCCCAAGTCCAAAAAATCTCCATATATCCAGCAACAGCTTCACCTTCACAGCCAAGCAGAGCAGCTGCAGCTGTACTCACAACCAGCAGCTGGATGCTGTCACACAGACACACACACATAGTTTTCACACCAATATCCAGCTTGCACAGACACACGAGCACAAAATCATTACCATTATTCTCAAGACTCTCACTCTTTGCTGTTCCTCTCAACACGTTGTGCGCCCACGGCGCCAGCCTTCTGTCCACACCAAACATGGCACCGTTTCCGCCAATCAGAGAGCTCCATTATGCGTGGAGGTGCTGTGATTGTCTGTAATCAAAGTCTCTGTCCCTGGTAGACTCGGCATAATGGAGGTAAAGTGCCTCTGGACCAGCACTTTAGTCTGCATGTGCTGATTAGCTCTGATTTAAGACTTAAGTCACTTCAGCAACTATTTATGTTGTTGCACGTTCATCAATTAGCAATTAACACGGAGGAAGAGAGTGCACACAGCAGCACTCTTGTCTGCCTCGGCTTTTATGCGAGTCTGTGACTGTTTCAGTATTTGCAGTTTCTGATGATAATTTACGGTATATGTCTGTCTATATACTTTTAAACAAAGTTTGACTAAAAACAAGCTAGAAGAAACTGAAAATTCCTGTTTTTCAGAATTCATAGAAGCTACTCAGTTAGTTGACTAATTGATCTGTTAATTTAACTAAAAGCTGATTGGCAGCAGGGGATGCAAGGTGGAACGGTGGTTAGCACTGTTGCCTTGCAGCTAGAAAGTCACCGGTTCGTGTCCCGGTGAGGACACCCGGGATCTTTCTGTGTGGAGTTTGCATGTTCTCCCCGTGCAGCGTGGGTTCTCTCCGGGTTCTCCAGCTTCCTCCCACACAGTCCAGAAACACGTTGAAGTTAATTGGTGATTCTAAATTGTCCGTAGGTGTGAATGTGAGTGTGCTTGGTTGTCTGTCTCTAAGTGTAGCCCTGTGATAGACTGGTGACCTGTCCAGGTGAACCTGCCTTCACCCTGAGTCAGCTGGGATAGACTCCAGCCCCCCATGACCCTAGTGAGGATTAAGCGGTGTATAGATGATGGATGGATGATGGGCAGCACATAATAATAATAATAATACACAGTACATAATTGTCACTTTTTAAGTAAAATTGCCAAATAATTTGCTGCTTCTTCTTTTCTTACAGGATGATAAATTGATTCTCTTTGCATTTTGAGGACTTGTTCAGACAAAAGGAAACATTTAAAGACATCTCTTGACGACTAAGAAACTGTGATGTGCTTTTAAGAAAAACTAGTTTTCTAGTAATAAAAATTGGAAAATAATTAGCAGATTAATCGATGATGAAAATAGTTCTAGCTACAGCCTCCAGTTTTTATTTTGACATGTGCAATGTAATGAAAGATAACAACAACAGCAAATCAAACAATTAAATTCCATAATTACAAAAATAATGCCTGGATAGGACATCCTCGTGAGAGTAAAGACAAAACTCTACTCAGCCAAAAGATGTTTTCAAAGCAAAGGCTGCAATCAAAAAGGAAAATGAGCGAATACAGACAAATACATTCGAGTTTTGTTTGACAAGCTGCAAACTAAACGCACACATCTGCACGAGTTAAAAAAAGTTACAACTTGTCTTGTATGACTCCATAAATGTACGTCTTTGAGCTGTTGCACTCACAGTAGTTGCGACGTCTTATCGCAGCAAATGTCAGTTGATGAACTCGTCCATTTTTTTCTGTGTTGTGCCCCAGAGATGCAAAATTAAAAACCATTAAGATGATCAAAGCGAGCGGAAAATCGACTTCACGTTGTATCTCGGCACATCTCAGTCTTTATCTTGGAGGGAAACGGAGCACAGATGCTCCAGTTTGGAGAAAATCTGCTCCACAAGCCTGAATATTGATAAGATTTGAGTTGATATCTTGATCCGCTGTTATGGAACTTATCACATGAATGCATTGAACAGTGTCTTGTTACACACCTACTGACCTCTACTCCTTCCTCAGGTATCGTCTCCCTGATCTCTCTGGCCGTTCTGTCCTACGAGCGTTACTGCACCATGATGACTCCCACCATGGCCAACGGTAGAGATTACCGCTCGGCGCTGGGAGGCATCTGCTTCTCCTGGCTCTACTCTGTGGCCTGGACTGTGCCTCCACTGCTGGGCTGGAGCAGATACGGGCCCGAGGGTCCCGGCACCACCTGCTCAGTCGACTGGAAGACCCAGACGAGAAACAATGTCTCCTACATCGTCTGCCTGTTCACCTTCTGCCTGGCCCTGCCATTCGGCGTCATCCTCTACTCCTACGGCAAGCTGCTGCACGCCATCAGACAGGTGGGATTCTGCAAAAATGTAGATGTCATATGAGAGAGTTTGTTCCAAAGTGAGAAAATTTGCCTTTGGGAAAAACACATACACTGACTCTGTGATGAGTTGTGAATCTCATTTTTTTATTTATTTATTTTTTTGGGTACTCCAGCTGTCTGGAAATGAGCCAGTGAAATCACTTCAAGGTAGATTTGAGATAAGACACCAGGATAAAAAAGTTTATCTGTATGTGATTCAAATGCACGCCGGCAGCGCGCTGACTTATCTGCGACTGATCCTTGACTGTATCAAAAGCTTCTGTCCAGTTTGCATGTTCAGCCCGAGGCTGCGGAGCTGACAAGAGAGCAAGGAATATGGGTTCAAACATTTCAAAGACTTGGGCTTGAAAGCTGGGAAATTTCAATCTCCGATCAGGTTTGACATCTCAACAACGTTGTGTATTAAAGCTGTCAACATCAATTTCTTCTCTTGTCTCCAGTTTTACACCATCTCTGACTGACTGTCGGGCATGCTTAGGCCAAACAGCCACTGTGAGATTTCATAAAAAGCATCTGAAGCCACGTCGTATTTAGCGAGAGCATAATTTACACCTTGCACGAACAGCAGACAGAGGAGACGTTAAAGCATGACCCGAATTCTGGATGACAGTCACGATTTGTACCCTGATATCGCTGCTGAACCGGCGAGGTGTTTGTATCTGCTCCCGTCATGTTTTTCTTACGAACGTGAAAGTCGGTTCTGTGCTCGCTGGAGCTTAGGTTTGCCTTTTTAAACTTTAATGCCTGCGTTGCGCGGCGTGAGCACAGATGATAGATGGTGAAAGTTTGGGGCGAGACTTGAAGATGTGTATCATATCTTAAGATGCTCACTCAGAAATAATGCATGTTTTGGTTCAGGTGAAATCTTTATTTTGCTCCCTTCGCCAGACTTACAGGATCATTGAAGTGTTTGCTTGTGTGATCAGGAGCAGAACGGAGCAAAAGTGAACAAAAATCACCACAGCTGCAAGCAGTGCTACGAAGTTTCTGCAATTCAGAGCTTGTTCTATGATTTTTTGAAAGGCTGCAACTACAGATGAACTGATGATTTAATATTTGATTATTAAATAATATGGCAGGTATTTTCTAGATTACCTGAGTAATCATTTATCTCTCGGTCCTCTTTTAAAAAATGGTTCATGAATGCCGGGTTCTGGCAGGTGCAATATACACATTTAGCTGACATAATTACTTATTAGCTTGAAGTTACAGTGAAGCGGCTTCAAGTGGCAGCTGATAGATTTTCAAAGAGTCGAGTTAGGGAGCTGAAAATAGCAGTCGGGAAGGGGAGTAGAGAGCAGCACAGACGTCGAGTCTGCAGGCTGGTGTTAATGACAGGATTACAGACAACTGTCTTCATTATACACTGCTGAGGCGCTTCATTAAGCCTCAAGGCTACAGACCTTCGCACCCACTGTCAGCTAATCACAGGAGACAAAAAAAACTCTTCATATAGCTCAGTGTGTGTGTGGAGGACCGGAGCTGCGATGACAGCGAGAGCATGTCTTCATATTGTTTCTGGCAGTGTGGAGGCTTTTTAGTGGGTATTGAAATTCAATTATGATATTTTTAGACTCAATAGGCCTCATGCAAGAACCACTTGTACCAACAGATTTGTTCATAATGTGGCGCGTTCAAGTGATTCAAGGGTTTTCTTGCATGTAGAATTTTCTCTTTGATACGGTTTAGCTAATATTAATCTTTTCAAACTGTTGCGGGCGCCGACACTGCCAAGCTTGTTGACTGACTTTCAACAGCAGGACCTTAAACTGTGCTCTGTGAAGGCCTGTTTGCTCTTTTGGAGGAAGTTGGTGACTAAAACCTGGGCACAGATGATGCAAATATGGGATGTCCAGAGCCCAATGAAACGGATTGATATTTGCATGAACCTAAGCCCAATGCCTTTTTGTGTTTTCTGTCACACGTGTTGTAAATTTCAACAGCTTCCTGAAAATGCTGTAAAGTCATTAAATATCTGATGTATTGATAATATAACTTCAGTACACCTTTTAATAGCCATAATCTGACTTTACAGGCAGAGCAACAAAAGCAGCTATTGCCTCTGCCATCGGGATATAGAAATGCTATTCTAAATAATTCCAGCTTGTTTACTCTATGATGCTGTCCGGAGGTCATTAAGCCTCACTGAAGACTTTGTTATGATGCCTGTTAACTCGTTAAACTCCCACAGTGCTCTATGCTTGCTAACGGCCCACCTCCCCTGGTCGCTACAGGATTAAACAGCATAAAGCCTAGTGGTGCACCGAGGTACTACAACTAATCTACAAGTGTGTATGATGTAGGAAGATGGTATTGAGTTTCAGCAGATATAAATACTGAATGACTCGAACCAGATCGAGGGCAAAAAAAGCAGAACTTGACATGGATGTGCCGAATGCAAATTGTGAAATTTATCAAAAAGGTGGCCTTGATCAGGCTCAACCAAGCAATTACCAACTGATTTATACTGTATATTCTATGAAAAGATAGAATGCATGACAGTTCCCCATAAGTGAAATCAAAATATATGGAAATAGGCTCTGCCATCCTGTGGTGGCGTCGAGTCTGACCAGGGGGTAATAACACATCCAATTTGTGTGTAATGAGTAGACAAAAAGTTTTTATTTAGAAAATGAAGAGTGCTGGGCAGTGTGTAGGACAGTCCTAGGCAGGCAAACTCTGTGGAGTTTAAGAGTCATAAGGCTGAACCTCAATACCACATGTCCACCTTGGAGATCACCATTGCACATCCTCTGCCTGCTAATGATGGCAGCATCTTTTTCCGAGATATTTTGGCTTCACATTTGTGCACTTTTACATACAATCTGTGCTTTATATCAGTGGTCCCCAACCACTGGGCCGCGGACCAGCATCAGGCCGTGGGTCATTTGGTACCGGGCCGCACAGAAAGAATAAAAACATTTTATTGGTTGATTTTTATTTCCAGCAGAGTCTGCAGGGTGTTTCATTTTGAAAAATGAGTAGCTTGTCTTCCCATCACTTCCGTCTGTGCTTGTTTCTTGCACTTGACTGTCAGTTTTCATGTTTGGCCGTTAAGTGAAGCCATCAGACTAACCGCTGCCGAAATGAATAAAGAAAGCAAAGGTCTCAGGAGAGCTTCTTTGGAAAGTGGGAGAGACTCCAAGTAATTTTATTTGTTTATGAAGCTTTTTAATAGAGAAAAGCTATTACATTTTGTTATGTGTGCAATGACCGGTCCGTAGAAAATTTTCTTGCTTAAAACCGGTCCGTGGTGCAGAAAAGGTTGAAGACTTCTGCTTTATGTGAACTCAGTTCCAATCTCTACACTCACAGACTTCACATCGCATCCTCACTCAGTGCGTTAGGCCTCAGGGTTGTCAAACTGTCATCTGCATGAGGCCTCTGATCCACATATATGCAGTAACTTGCCAAGAGTTCAGAGAAAATTAGGTGACATATAAATCCGGTTGTCCTGCCGTCTGCATAATGTCCACAAACCAAGCATGGATGGTGCAGGAAGGAAGTCTGCTCTGAAGTTTGTCTTTCTGCTCGTTGTTGCAGTTTGTTGTTTGTATCTCAGTCAAACATCTGTATTGGATTTACAGATGTTCACGACTTTCCTGGAAGTTTGTCAAAATGTATAAACACACAAACAGGGCGGCTGAGCAGCTAATCAAACCGTGAATGAACCACGGATCCAAATTTCTGTTTTAATGGCAATGCATTGTTTCCAAGCAATATGTGCTGTCCAGTTCATTCTTTATATACGCTTTTGAGATCTCACAGACTCACACCCTGAAGCACCACAGCTGTGACAGCAGTTACGTCTGTGAGGTTTTACTGCTCTGGCTTTAGGATAGAACTTGTGATTGGAGCCGTCGTTAACCCTTTTCTCTGCTGGTTACAGACACTACAGTCACTTTATATGTTAAACAAGTGACTGATTAGGCAAAAGAGAGATCTTTGTGAGACGAATTCAGCACTCAAAATTTTTGACAGTTTATGAGGTACAAATATATAATATTAGAAGTTTACTGGCACTGCTATTGTTTTGTAGTTAATACAAACAAGTATATTGGAGCGCAGCATGTGTACATCGACTCTTAGATGTCTAGCAGAAACTTTGACTTTCCAACGAGAAGTGTCGAAACCAGAAAAGGCAAACTTTAAAGAGTTTTGTGATTCATTTTTAAAAGGGCAAATTAATTATTTTCAAAGAAAATTGGCTTATTTAATGTCCTTTATTCTCAAAGAGGCTAATAAATAAGTAATGTATGCTTTAAAGTTTAAGTGTCTTCTCCACGGTGAGTCATTCTCATTCGTCATTTCTCTGATGTTTACCTGAGAAGTTATGAAGCATTAAATCGAGCAAAGCAGCTGCTGAAGAAAGAGACTTCAGTGAATCTGACTTGGACACTCGTATAAACTCTTGGAGAAAAATAGGAAATGTCAGAGATGTGTAAATGTTCTTGCTTGAGGCTCAATATCTTTAACAGTTTTAATGAAAAACAATCTTTTGTGGAGGGTTTTAAATGACATATAACACATCATGTTGGGTGATAAAAGTTACAAAAATCATTACTAATCAGTGGAATGATTTAATACATGTGAAACGAACAACAAGCTGCCAGCAGGATTTACAAAATCCCAGCTGTTCACCTGCGTTGTTTGTGTGCCTGCGAATGACTCCTTGTTTTTATCGTTATTCTGTTGATAAATTATTGCTTTAATGCTCATCTGTTGGGCAGCAACATGAAGACAGAGTGTGTCTAAGAATTAGGCTCGCTCCAGTGTTTGGTTGTGCGTCATATGTCTTCACACTAACTGTGTGGGATGGTTTAATTGATTCGCGGCTGTGAACCACGCTGTTCATTTCTATGAGTCCTGAGTGTTGTTGCGTCGATGCTGTTTGCACAAGAATTTAATTTGCCACATCATTTGCTGGTTCATGTGCCGTGCTCCTCTGGGTTTCTGCCATGCCTGCGA